CAAAATTCATACCGAAAATCACGCCGCACCCGTTCTTACATTTACGCACACGTTCTCCCATTTACGCACCCGTTCTTACATTTACGCACACGTTCCGGCAATTATACACACACGCTCTTGACTTTAGTCACTTATACTGCACCCACATCTTTGTATTCTTTTCTTTTTTTTTGTAATAAAGACATTTTTCTTTTCTCTGAGCACCGCGCCTGATTATTTAGCTTGCCTATCCGAAATCGCGAATCCTGATCCCGACTGCGGTTATCCGATACCGTTTCCGCGGAAGTCGTCCGTGACAAGATTTTAGTTCTTTTCGGACTTTTTCATTCGCTTTTCGTCACCTTTGAAATATTGCTAACTTTATTATTTATTAGATGCATTCTCACTTCTGTTCGTTGCTCTTACTTTTCCTTTCTGGCAGTATCGTCAACATTTAATTAAATCAATCACACCTTAATTTTTGCTCATTTTTTTTACATTTTCTCTTTATTTTCATTTTTTCACTCGCTCTATCTTACAGAGAACATTGAATAAATAAATTTAAATTAGTTCTTGTATCCCGTGTTTCTTCGATATCCCATGGGACATTTGTGGAGGTCACCCAACATTAAATTGAATTATTTTCTTTTCTGAAATTTGATATCTTTTGATGTGAAAATTTTTAAACTTTTGTATATTTTGATTGCTTGTCGTGCTAATCCTTACTTCTCTTTATGGGCATTTTTGTATTTTTATTTAAATCATATTTTGTATTGAATTATATTGTATTACTTGTGTTGAAATTATATTGTATCTTCGTATGTCCCGCGTGCGCATGGTCATGGAATTTCGGGCATTCGGTACTTTGATGAAGTGATCGCATAATTGACGCATTTTGGCTGATGATATTCAGCGAATTTCGCGTATTGCTTGGGTTACGTTTGCTCCAGAATTACGCTACAGGATTTTTGCGCTGTCTTCCGGTTATTTGGCGGCCGTGATTGCATTTCGTTGCTGGTACGGTTTCTAGCGGACGTGATCGCGAAAGGCGGCGGAAAAATTTTCTTATCTTTATTAAAGATTAGCGGAGCCTTTCGTGCGCGTTCCTCGAACTTGCTACTCGCGTGCCAATAGTTAATCAGAGTATTTTGGGGACCTCACGGCACGTACTGGCTGTCGATCTTTTGCTCCTATATCGAGCCTTTTGATCGGTCGGCTCGCGAATCAGAATTTTTTTTTCTTCCTCCCTCTCTTTGAAATTTCCCTCGCGATGTCGGAATTAAAGTGGATTGACGAGCTGTCGGCGGCCGAGTTGAAGGCCGAACTAGAGAAATGCGCTTTGCGATTGGAGGGTACCGAAACTATCATGAGGGCACGTCTTGCGCGTCATGAGCGGTACCAGACTCTCGGCCTAGACCCCACGCACTCGCCTACGTATAGCGAATTGGAACTTTTGGCTCCTCTCGAGACCGGGGCTGTGAGACCGGATAGCCCCAGCGAGCGGTTCGATATGGGGGCCGGGTTACGTGGAAACCTCCATCTCGGGGGAGCGGATCGCGCGACGGCCAGGTTATCCAAGCGTCGCGCCTCCTCGCGTTCAGTCACGATTTACGCCATCCCTGCTGTCGGAGAAGGACCGCGCGGACGCGCCATCGGGAAATAGCCGCCCGTTTAACCGGCGTACGTCGTCCGTGATGGACGTATATAACATCATGCAACGATGGAATTTAAATTTCACGGGGGCACGCAGGAGTGACGCGGAAATGTTTCTCATGCGAATCGAGGAGGGACGCGCGTTGCTACCGGTTAGGGACGAAGATTTATTGAAATCTTTGCCATTTTTCTTATCGAGTACCGCGTTGTACTGGTTCCGGCATAAACGAGCGAAGTTGCACTCGTGGCGGGAGTTCGTTGCCGCGTGGCGCGCCCGGTTCAGAAACTCGGATTTTCAGTTCGCATTACGGGATGAGGCTGCTCGGCGGACTCAGGGAGAACATGAGCCTTTCGCGGAGTATCTCACATATATGTTAGCTCTTTTTGATCGCATGAGCCCGCCGTGGAGTCTGGACGAACAGCTGGGGTACGTGTATCGCAATATGCTGCCGCGCTAAGGACCGCGGTAGATCGTGAGGACATTCATGATTTCGCGACTTTGGAGTGTCGAGTGACGCGCGTGGAAAGAAGTTATGAGGCCGCCAAAACGCATCGCGTGCCTCCGACCGCGGAACAGTCCATCTTCCCCGAACTGGCATACAGGTCACCGAAAAAAGAACAGCGAACTGCAACGGTTGCAGTTGCTGCCGGCGTTGATGCGCGCGAACCGCAGAAGGGGAAGGCGTCCGGAAAATCGCGTAAAAGCACGGCGATTGCAACCCTGCAGCCGATCCGGCAATTGAGACGGCCACCGTCGCGACGACTGCAGGTTCGCGCGTTAACATCAAATGTTGGAATTGCGAGAAAACGGGACACGTTGCACGCGAATGTAAAGAACCGCAGCGCTTGCATTGCTACCGCTGCGGGAAAGTGAATTTCACCGTCAAGACGTGCCCCTCATGCTTGGGAAACGAAAGAGGGAGTCAGTAGGACGGGTCTCTGCGATTCCTGAAATTGCAATAGGGATCCCGATACCAGATTGTACCGGCAGTTCGTACGGTGCTCTTGATTGCTCCCGGTTAACGCCGTTATTGTATTTTAAAGTATTCGTGCAGGGGCGACCCCTCGTCGATCCCGGTTCGAACCGTACGATCTTTGGTCGGGAAGGAATCAAAATTATATGACAGTTTAGGATACCAACTAGGCAGAATAACGGGTCGCGAATTCTTACCGTTAACGGCCAGATCGCCGAAATACGCGAAGAGGCGGAAATATCGCTCATGTTAGAGGATCGAACGTGTGATATCACCGTAGGGTTATTGCTGACTTTGGTTGTTCCGTGCATAGCGGGGTTGGACTTACTGTGTCGATTAGGCGTTAACATAAGTTTCGCGTCCTCAAGGTGGTATTTTGAGGACGAGCCTAAAATCAACTATCCATTTGAGTCGCGAGAAATTCTCGCAAAAACGTGCTGTGCTGCGCTCCCCGAATTAACGCTCTCTGAGCAAGACCGACTTAAAGAATTTATCGCAAAAAACGTACCGGAGACCACCGCTAGTTCCGGTTACTTCTCTCATCAAACATAAAATCGACGTCAGTCATCACGCGCTCGTCAGACAGAGGTGTTATCTCGTTTCGCCGAAGGTCCAAGAAGTAATTCGCGACGAGGTAGACAAAATGTTAGAGGCCGTTATCATTGAGTCATCGTTTAGCGAGTGGTCAAATCCGATAGTGATGGTAAAAAAGCCGAACGGTAAATATCGCTTCTGTCTCGATTTTAGGAAGGTTAACAGTCTTTCCAAGAAGAACGCGTATCCGCTGCCGAACATGAACGGCATCTTAGATAAATTGAGATCCGCGCATTATTCTCGACGATCGATTTAAGCCAGGCGTATTTTCAAATACCTTTGGCCAAGGAAAGCCGAGAGATCACTGCGTTTAGCGTTCCGGGAAAAGAGTTGTATCATTTCACCCGGATGCCGGGTGATTGACGTACCGCGCGACCTCCCGAAACATGTTCGGCCAAAAATACGCGACATCAAGTTGCTGGTACATTTTCTCTACGCCAAAATGTCCGGCCTGAGGATCGTCGTGTGCCTCGCGCAAGGCCTCCCCGCCTCCAAGATACGGACTAACAGGGGCGCCCGCGACTTTCCAGCGCTTATTAAATAAACTTATCGGACCAGAAATGGAACCACACCCGTTCGCGTATCTTGATGACATCAGCGTAGTTGTAACGCCAACCTTCGAAAAACATTTGGTATGGTTGAAACGCGTATTGGACCGGATTTCGGCTGCCGGTCTCACGATAAACCCGGAGAAGTGCGAGTTTTGTCGCTCGCAGGTTCGTTATCTGGGGTTTGTCGTGTAAAGGGACGGCTTAACCGTAGATCCAGAGAAAACGCGCCCGAAAATGGAATATCCACCACCAACAAACTTGAAACAGTTACGTCGTTTCCTGGGCATGTCATCGTGGTACCGACGCTTTATACCGAACCATTGACGCGTCTTTTGAAAAAAGGAAAGCGCTGAGAATGCGGGGAAGACTAGTGTCGCGCCTTTGAGCAGATTAGGTCTCGTTAATTGTCGCGCCTACATTATCGTGTCCGGATTTTAACATATCGTTCGTCGTGCAGACCAACGCGAGTTCCGTCGGAATTGGTGCTGTTTTGACGCATAATATTGACAACACGGAGCACATCATCGCGTTCGCGAGCCGTGCGTTGTCGAATCCTGAGAAGAAATACTCGGTTACGGAACAGGAGTGTTTAGCCGTAGTTTGGGCCATTAAAAAGTTCAGGCCATACTTAGAGGGATACCAATTCACGGTGATTACAGACCATAGCAGCTTGCGATGGCCCATAATCTGAAGAACCCGACAGGTAGACTCGCGAGGTGGGCATTAGAGCTCCTCAAGTACGACTATAACATCGTGCATCGAAAAGGCGCCCTGCATCATGTATCGGACGCGCTATCGCGTATGTATGAGAGTGACACCGAAGTGACGACGATAGCGGTCGCGCAAATAGATCCTATCGCGAATACAGCAGACGCGTGGTATCGTAAGGGTTTTGGAGAGATTTCGGACGGTCATAGGCATTTTACGGATTGGCGGATCGTGAACGGACAGCTGTATTATATGAGGCCCAAACCGGTAGTATCGGAAACAGTAGAGGATCTCGACCGATGGAAGTTGGTGTTGCCGTCAGAGCTGCGCGGGGAGGCCTTGCGCGAGGCACACGATGATCCTCAGGCCGGACATTTGGGCGTAGAGAAAATGTACCAGCAACTTGGTGTCGCGTATTTTTGGCCGAACATGTTTCGGGAGGTCGCGCGGTACGTCAAAAGGTGCGATGTCTGTCTCAACGCACTAAAGTAGAACAGGCTGGCCCCGCCGGTCTTATGGGATAGCGCATAATCGAAAGGCCATGGTAGTCGCTGCCGATATCATGGGTCCGTTCCCGCGTAGTAAGTCCGATCATCAGTATGTTTTCGTGGTTCAAGATCTTTTTACTAAGTGGATTGAGTGTAGCGCAATACAGGCCGCGAACGGTCAAAAGATTTGCGAAATGTTGAGTGACGTCATCTCGCGTTTGGGCGCGCTGAGGTTTTTGCTGACGGACAATGGAACGGAGTTTATTAATCGGACTTTGAAAGCGTTCGCGGACGAGCATGGAATTACCCACACGACCATCCCTCCGTATCACCCGCAAGCGAACTCCGTGGAGCGCGTAAATCAAGTACTAAAGACGATGATAATAGCCTTCCTAGAGCGGGATCATCGAGAATGGGACCAACACCTTAAAGATTTCCGCTTCGCATACAATACCGCACACCATTCAGCCATAGGCGCGTCACCGGCTTTGTTAAATCTTGGCCGTGAGTTGTCGCCGGCAAATTCGTTGCGCGCTCGGAACACGGAAACCGCGGAGGTCGAAACACGGGATCCCGCGGAATGGTCGGAGCGAATGCAGAATTTGCAGTCATTGCAAGCGTGGGTGTCGGAGAATTTGGAGCAGGCGTACCAAAAGCAGTCATTGCAGTATAACCTTCGACGACGCGACCGTACTTTTCGCGTAGGAGATTTAGTCTTGAGACGACAACACGTATTGTCGTTTGCGGCGCAAAACGTAGCCGCAAAAAAATTGACACCGAAATTCCACGGCCCGTTTAGGATTAAAAAGCGATTGTCGCCCGTAGTATGCGAGCTTGCGAGTTTGGCCGGAATCCCGGTTGGAAAAGTTCATGTTAAAGATCTAAAGCCCTATCACCCTCCTGATCCTTCATAGATAGCTACCGATGGACCTGATGAATGCGAAGGCAGTGACCAGGACCAACCTGGAAGAGGTCCAGCGATTGTTGGGAAGCCGCTACCGGCGGGATAGGGGGACGCAGACGAGCCCGGCGTCCTCCCGCGAAGTTGCGGTGGAGGCGATCCCGGCAACCAGGGAGCGGGCCTCCCAAACAGAGGAGCGCTACGGGACCGTCCGCGGGGCCGATCGCTGCTGGAATTGCCAGGCGGTCGGCCACCGCTATTCAGAATGTCCCCATCCCGCTCCTTCTGTTATGGGTGCGGGCGGTTCGGAGTAACTATGAGGGTCTGCCCTCGCTGCGGGGAGAATTGGCGCGACCTGGGTCCGTACAGGCCGGAGAGCAGCCACCACGTCGGCCGATTTAACCGCGCAGAGTGAGGAAAAACCCAGACTGCGACCGATCAGCTCACGAGCCCCGGCCGGGAGACCCGTCGGGTCGAGGACCCCGCACTTACTGCCGCGGAGGACCTTGGAGCGAGAGGCGTCGGTTTTTCTTTTTTTAAATAAATTATCTTTGTAATTTACTTCGGAATTAGTGTACCCTTTCACCCCTTTCCTCTGCGAGTTACTTGCGAGCGTGCGCCGACTATCATTTAGTGTACTCGTAATTGCGTTCCGTTATTCGTCGTTGTATCATGAGCAGTGACTGGCTAAGGCCGATCCGAGAGAGGAGCAACCCTGGATGCCGCATACGCGGCTTGTCGTCTGGAAGGCTGACCCAGAGTATAAGGTAGAGTACTTAGGCGAAGTTGGTGGCTGTCGACGTTCGTCATAGCCAAGACCTCCTCGGTCCTCCCCGAAGAGGGGGAAGTTGTGACGTGACGCCTGTGCGTGGTTCGTTACGGGGGCAAAGTGCCCGACCGAGAGAGCCTTATTCGGGACCTGCGTCCTTCCGCTATGACGAAGGAACGGTCCTCTTTTGCGATTTCTCTCTCATGCGTTTTCTTTTTGTGTACGCGCCTTTGCGCGCTCGTTTTGCGTTTGCGTTTCGTGTTGGCCTTTTCAGCGGATTTGGTATCGTTTCGTCTCAACCGGTCGTCGGGAGGAGGACAGCGGACAGGATGTGAGGAGATGCAGTGAGGACGGAGGTTCCGCCGACTAGAATGGAGCACATCAGGTGAATCAATTTTGTTAATTCATCTTAATTCAAATTTGTTCCCTGCTGCGAACACATGCCGGCCCCCCCGATTTATTTCTTTTAATTACCGCAGCTCGGAAGAGGAGGCTCAAAGAAACTTAGAGAGGATGCGCACTCCACATGACAACATCCCCGTGGGAGACCTCAATTCGGAGCGGCATCGCGAGGACCCCGACCGGAACCGGCCCTACACTCGGGGCCGGGAGTATAACGGGAGTCACTCTGTGGAGATCACCGTAGGATTTCCCGAACCCCGAGGAAGTCAGGCGGGGCAAGAGGCGTTTGCTGCCGAGAGTATTTCTCTTTGCGGCCGAGAATTTCCCATACAGCAGAATTACGGCCATGATAAGAATCGGCCTGTGAAGGGCGCGACACGGCCCTTCGCCAATTAGATTCGGCGAGGAAAATCGGGGGAAACGATCGCTGACGTGTCTCCCGCGGACCTCACGCACCTCACTGTTCGGCGGACTAGCGACGCAAAAGGACGCAGATCCCGTTGAATACCGAGAGCTTTTTCTGTTGACGATCTTCGAGGACCATTCTGGTGAGACGAACGATCTTTCTGTAAGGCCAACAATTTCGCTGCCGCTCGGGTGAATTGTGTCGGGCCCTCGATTTTACGTATCAGATAATATCGATTATTCGCGTTTGTCGCACGTGGTCCATACGCCATTAACGTCTCCGTTCTTTCGCGATTTTGGGAAACACGCGAATAATAGAGGGGCCGAGCGATTCGTCCGAGCTTTTGTTGCAGGACCGCTGCTTCCCCGGGGAACGCCTCCAGTCACCGTGTCATATTTCGCGTTGTCGTATATTGTAAATTGTCCGCGTTTTCGTGAGATCTATCGTCGTAGTGAGCTTATTTCGTCGTTGTTAGCATAATCTGTGCGTTTCGGCTGTCGTAGTTTGTCGGAAAATTTTTATGTTTCGACCGAAACTCGTCGTATTAACGTAACGTCGTTGTATTGCGCCGTACGCCCTGCCGCATTCCATCGCGCGGAGCTCGCGAAGTATCGATTGCTATCGGGTAGATCTCGGGCGGGCGAGAATAGTATCGCGAGTGCGATTAATTGCACCTTCATTAACCCGTCGGCTAATAATCTATTTGTTTTTTCCCGGCTTTTCACAATAGACACGCATCGACCGCGTGATCCATGCTCTGTCTCGCTCGCTCTTGATCGCGGCCGTGCGCATCGATAGCGCTGTCCTTGTCTCGCTCACGGGACTCGCCGCCGTAATATAAGACGCCGTAAATAAAACAAATTTCACCGAATTGCGACTGGTTGTGCGCGTGAAATTATGTATAAAATGGCAACCATATGATTAAATACATTTTTTATTTTATTCGATTTTCTTTTCTCGACGAAATATATGTTACGAATTTTTATGATTACTATTAGTTTTCTCTCAGTGTTACAACTTTTCTCGACCTCCTCTCCCCGAACTCTCCTCGCTCTCCGCGAACTCCACGCCTCTACCGACACTGTTTGCGAGAGCTACAGAGATTTCGGGCCGTCACGATCGACTTTCGGATTTTCTTTGCGATTAATTAGCGTTTCGCGCGGCGCGGATATTCGCGCCTGGCGCCCAGAAATTCTTGTTCTTTTTTTTTGATGCGACCGCCGAATCGACGGAAGGTGATCATGCCGAAGGTGTGCCGTGGATCAACACCATCGGTCCTCTTAATAACTTCCCCGTTCAGAAAAAAAATAAGAAATTTCACGGTCACATTACATAAATAATCTTTTTCTGCGTAATCATAACTTGTATGAATAGATTACTTGGAAGAATAAGGTTTAGATGTTGCATGAAAGTAGGAAAAGAGTAACATCATATTTGTAAAATTGGAAAAATATTTGAAGTTTTGGGAGGATGTACTATATATATTGATGCTGCCTTATAAAATAATATATATTACGATACGCAACAAACTTGTATTAAACTTTTATGACGATTATATTTTATTATTTATTCATTACATATTATATATATATATATATATATATATATATATATATATTGTTATAGTCCGAGAGACTATAACTTATTATACCATTATAATAGAATATATAATAGAACATTCGCGAACCGTGCAAAACCGCCATCTCAGCAAACCACGCGCGAGAACGCTCGCCGGAAACGCGAAAGACACTAACGAAGGGATCCGACTTTGAACCTCCTTCGCTTGCATTTGGACTTTGGACGCCACGAAGAACCCCCATGACCATACATGGTCATGTCGCTAGGCGATCCCCTCCAAAACACCCCCGAAACCGAGGAAATAAAAGCCGTCCACCGCGAATCCGCGGCGGACAGTCGTTAATTATAAATCAAACAACTAGTGCGAGACCGAGGGCTAACCATTATATAGTATGACGAAACATCCGACGAAATTGATAAACACCCTAAATCTGAGAACGAAGCGATTTAGAAAAGGACGACGAAGAGAGGGCTCAAAAGAAATTGACTAATGTCGAATAAATGAATATATTTGTATAAAAGAAATTTATAATAAAAGTTGCACAAAAAATCCAGGAATTAACTTGAAATTCCCGGCTATCCCACACCCTGTGCCGCGTCCGGCACATTTCTGGTGGCAGCGGTGGGATAGCCGAGATCGAGGACCATCCTGGATCCTTAACGCCTGCAACAAAAGAAAATACAAAATTAACAAACTGGAAAGAGCAACTGCTATATTAAAGCAGATAGTCTCAACCAGCACGCAACACACACGGACGACAGTGATAAGAAAATCACCACGGCCAAGCAACTGAAAGCCGAAAGGAAACACCAGCGCTCAAGGACCAACGTCGATCCACGGCCAAGGCAATGCAACGTAGACGGACAACGCATCGCCGACGGACAACGTATCAACGCGGGACAACGACCCACCAGCAGCATCAACAGTCGAGCGATACGATAAGCGACCCGATAAGTTACGACCATGCGAATCACCGTACTACTACTGTAAGTCGAACTTTATTTAAATGTCAGCACCGTCAAAACAAGTAAAATTTAAGAGTCCGCGATTTCTGAGCGTGCCAGCACGATTGGCAAATAGATTCGGAACTGTAACTCCGATACGAGTAGCAGAAGAGGCTGCTTGCGATATTCGTAGAAGCGTGCGAAAAAATTTAGAAAAACATTATTCGAGTTCTAATTCATCCGAGGAACACGAACCGAGTAATAACGATAATTCGGTACAAGACGGACCAAGTCGCGTTACAGTACGAAGAAATTATTCACCGATATCAGTTGATATTAGTTTATTCGAGCCACGTGCGCAAGTGAATATGGAAAACGAAGCCGTCGATAGAGAAATCGAGCGCATGCGAGCGCAACAGGCCGAACTAAACGCAGCCGCGGCCTATGATGACGCAGGTCAGCCGGCCGAAGGAACGAGTAACGTATTACTCGCCGAACTCGTACACAGTTTCCGCGAAATGCAAACCGAAATGCAGTACATGCGCGAACAAATGCGAGAGATACAAACCGCACAAGCAAATTTAAACGAAACGCGAGTAAATGCAAACACTGTCCCACTCGACGTAACGTACGGACGCACTCAACGTGATATACGAAACCGACGTAGCGCAGCCCCGCACTATGTATCATTAAAAGAAGCGCGAACAATGATTCCCGAGTTTGATGGGACGACGCGACATAGATTACAGGAATTCTTGAACGCTTGTACGTACGCGGTACAAAATATTAATCCCGCGGACGAAGAATCGTTAATACAAGCAATGTTATATACTAAATTAAGAGGTAAAGTCATGCAAGATTTCGAAACGCGAGATATCCAGACATTTGAAGAATTAAAAACACAACTCGAAAC